GAGTATATTTATATGTGACTTTAATAATTACTCGATAATAATGTAATAGATATAAATTGTAAACAATTCCATTGAATTTGTCATTGTTAATAGTTTACAAAATATAATATCTTTATTGCTTCATAAAGTATATTGTTACTAATAATAATGTTATTATTATTATATATTATCGGTTTTAATTTTAGTATGTTATCATGCACTGTCTCATGAAATTTATATCCATTTATCTACAATAAGCCAAAGGCTTTAATGTGAAAAAATATTAATACCAATCCAGTCACATATGCACATATATAACAGGTAAAGTCATTCTGGGGCGGGGTACATGTTATTTTCAGTTAAAAATCAAAAAACTATGTTTTTTCTTCCTAATATTGTTAATTGGTTGTTTACCTAGACGTTGTTGTTTACATTTTAAAAAAAGTTTTAAATTTTAAGTAATTTGCTTTATTTAACCCAATTATATATGTATGTATGTATGTAGCATAACTAGCGTGTCTGGACATTGCGCGCACCAAATACCTAAGCTACAACAACATAAATAAATGCATTGTTTTAATGATATTCTAAAACCGACACAATAAAGATTTGCATTTCTATTAAGCAAGTTTAAATGCGAATAGAGACAGGGCAAACCTTCAATGAGGTCTTTTAACTCAAAAGCTAAGCCAAACAAAAAAAATAATAATAATTATATCATCAAAAAAAAAACAAGAAAAAACGTTAACTTCGATTGCACCGATGCTATAATACCCATCATAAGGAAAAAGTTTCCTTACAAAAACTTGATTCCGATCGTTCAGTCAATATGGCAGCTATATGCTATAGTCATCCGATCTATACAATTTCTTCGGAGATTACATTGTTGCGTTAGGCAATAATATGTGCGTAATTTTGTGAAGGAACCTCGTCAAATGAAAGAGTTTTCAATACAAGCACTTGATTCAGATCGTTCAGTTAATATAGCAGCTCTCTCATCATGCTGATCAGTTATATATATATTTTATAGGGTCTCCGACGTTTCCTTCTGAGTGTTACAAACTACGTGACAAACTTAATGTACATTGTTCAGGGTATAATGATAATAAAAACAAAATTGCAAGAGCTCAACTTGTTTTACGCTATTTTATAATTTTATTCAATTAATAGCGATCATTCACCTCCCGAAATCATTTACAATAACAAAAATTCACACACATATACACTTCTAGAATATACATACACATGCATAAATAGGTAGTTGCCAAATCATTATCAAATTATTTGAACAGGTTTTAAGCTGCTATTCGCGTAAATAATTTAAAAGTCTTAAAAAAAAGTCTTTCAGCCTTTTCCTTCCCCACACATTTTTCTATGTTTTTGACATATACATACATACATATATGTATGTTTTACCACATGTATCTACACATACTATGCAGTACTTTAACAGAGCCAAGGTTGATAAATTTTTAATTTAATATTTAATACCAAACTAGAAGTAACTAATTAAGTTTTAATAAAAATTACAAAATCGGAATTAAGATTTGGAAATTTTCTATTTTGTAAATTAAAATTTAAAAATTAATTAAAAATTGATAAAATAATTTTATTTAAAAAAGCTGGAATGAAAAGGTTTATCCCTACATATATATATTTTTAACTGAAACATCATAATTATATATAAAGAAGTCAAAGACTTGATTGCTGATATTTGATTAAAATAATGCTTTCCTTTTCCCAAAATAAACAAATAAACAAATACACGAAGTACGCAAGCACAACATAATTTAAATTTCTAAAAACACAATTTTTAAATTTTTAATTATTAATTTAAAATTTTTAAATTTAAATCGTGCTACGATTATTTAATATTTTATTTAAACGGTATTTAAAATTATAATTTTAATTTAAAATTTTTAATCCGGTATCCGAGATTAGAAATATTAAAATTATTTTTATTAAAGATTTACCGCATAGAAAAATAAAAAAAATTAATTTAAACGTTTATTCAATTAATTTAAATGATCATTATCTGCAACCCTGAACAGAGGTAATCTTAGTCAGAAATAATCGATTAAACTAATAATTTGAGTCCTACGGAACATAGAAATAAGTTCAGATTTTTAATTTTAAGAAATATTCAAACTTTTCAAATTAAAAAAAAAAAATTAATTAAAAATAAAAAATACAAACATGTTTTTAAAAATCCTGACAATGATGACGTACTCGAATAATAAAAAAAAAAATTCCTTTCCTACGACAAGCTTTTTTTGTGAGTGAAAATTAAATCAAAATTTAGTTATTTTTTTAACTTAGAGTTTCATTAAATACAATTCTTGAAATTCATTTTTAAATTTCATTGAACTATAATATTTGATATAAATTGCGTTTTTCCCACCCTATATTACGTGCAACTATAAAAGCATTTAAGTACTTGAAGCTGTCCACCACTGATTTTAGGCATTTTCAATGTGAGCTCTCACTATTTTAACAGTAATTTCAAATATGGTCTGAAATTCTGTTGAAATTTTGAATTTGATTAGCTCATCAGAATATCATAAAAACATTTACAATTCAATTACTCACTCATTGAGCTCACACATTGTCTAATTTTTTTGTCCACCTTCGTTAATTCGATAATTTGGCACGAACAGTGTTGATTGTGTGACTGTTGTACACTTCATTAAATTTAATATGAAATAGATTGTATACATTTACTTCCGTAATTACCTAGTAGCACGAAATCGAAGTAATTTAAAAAGCTGCAGGCAAAAGCTCATTAGCAAGTTAAGCTTTTTTTATAAAAAAAAATTGTAGATACCAAAAAATTTCTTTTTATATTTCGTAGTATTTCTTCCAATAATTTTCTTTTATCTTTAAAACTATTGATGAAAATATTCTAGCCACATAATGTTGTACGCATATTTCTTGCCACCAATGTAGGTATATTCACATATATTGTACATACATACATTAGTATACATTTTAAATTGAGTGCGGGTTCACGTGTGGTCTACAAAAGTGACAACTGACGTGAATTCAGTGAATCATGCAATTTTAAGTGGAACAAAAATATTTTTGTTTTTTATTTTCCTAAGATAATTGAGTATTTAACTACATATTTAGTACAAGTAAATTGAATTTTCTGTGGTTTGTGATTTGTTATAGCAGACAATTTCGAAATCTGGCGATTTGATTAATGACCTATCGAAAAAAAACCGTCGAGAACATGATTCATAGCCTTGAACGTAGAAGTCTAGTTAATGTACAATACTAAATTCACCGTATACAGTATTCCCAATTTCTATAGCAATCTATTTCTACCAATTGCGTCGTAGGTTAAAAATTCTTTAGTGACCACACTTATAGCAGTTAGACAGTTGTTAATAACAGGGCAGCTTTATGAGATCAAAATGGTGACAGAAATCCGCAGAGAGAATTTAAAAAATAAGAGAACTTTTGAGATAAGAGCATAATTTTATGAGATGATATATCATGTTTTCGATATACATAGTATAGTGCAGGGTAAGATTAAATTTAGCGAAAAAAAGTAAGGAATGGCTAAGTTTGGGTGTAACCGATATTAGTTTAATGGTGGCGAGTGCAAGTTTGCACCTGATTTTATCCGTTTTAGGCATTATTTTCAGTTAAAAGTCAACTTTGGCACTGGTAGTCCACTTATCCGGTAGCTAGGGGCTTGAACAGTTTGGTTTCGATTCAGACAATTTTTGGTCACAAGATGGCAAACATTACATACCAAATTTGGCCAAATTTGACCAACTCGACCGATATGTCCTGAGATATGGGTTTTCCCTTAAAGGTGGGCAGTGCCGCGCCAATCGTACAATTTTGATACCTGCTCCTATAAATCCTACTTGTGCCATCTTGGATATAAAATTTAATGTCTCTGACGCATTTAGTTATTGGTTTATCCCACTTTTAGTAGTTTTTAACTAAACTTATATATGGGGAGTGACGTGGTTATCATCCGATTTCACCTATTTTCATGCTAGCGCAAGAGATGTCGATATGATTTGTCCCGTGCAAATTTGAGTGATATAGCTTAAATGATTTGGGAGATAAATACAAAAAAACTATTATGAGTGCAGCCACGCCCATTTTTTAAAAATTTTCATACCACAGGTGCCTCTTGTTATTAAAATTTATTGTATCAAAATTAGTTATGTATCTTAACTTGCTGCTTAGTTATGGCAATTTATAGGTTGGCAGTCGTCCGATTATGCCCATCTACGAACTCGTTCTCAATTTTTTGCCAAGGAATACATGTAGCATTAAGATATCTAAGTTTTTACTCAAGTTACAGTTTGCACAGACAGACGGACGGACGGACAGACAGTCACTCGGAATTTAACTCGTATACCACCCATACATTTATATACCATATATATAACTCCATATCTATCTCGATTAGTTTTAGGTGACACAAACAACCATTAGGTGAACAAAGCTCTTATACTCTGTAACAACATGTTGCAATAGTATATATATATTTCATATTACCGAAATAAAGCCACATTTCAATGTGAAATTGTACAAGATATTTGAAATGCAGTAATGGGGAACCAACAATCTTTCAAAATATAATGTAAGCAATCAAGCTGTTATACCTCAAAGAGATGTTAGGAGCAGTCAGAATTCACTAGTTTGTAGTCTTGACCCACGTAATTTTTATAGCCCGCAAAATTTGCTCTTTTATAAAAAAAAGATTATTCAAATTAGATTTTTTAGCTAAAAAAAATTACAATGAAACCTACAGTTTTTCGAAGCAAACCTTTAACTTTTAGAACCCCGCTTTGTGTAAGTCAGCAAAAAGTTCCACGCCACAAAAATGAGAAAAAGCTTAAACAAAGCTGGTGTAAACGCCATACCAATCTTCTTAGCAAACTTTAAGGTCAAAAACTCCAATTTGAAAGTAAACCTAACTGTATGTTCTTTACTTATGCTAATTAAACTGCAAATATATATTTATTTAATTTTCACAAATTTTTTTATTTCAGTTTTCCTCGTACCTCAGCGCGTGATCCTTTCGATCATGGGCTTTTTTGCCATACTCAATGCATATACGATGCGTATATGCCTCTCGGTGGCTATTACTGAGCTGGTAGTTAAGAAAAATCGTACAGATGAAGATAGTGGATCGGCGGTGTGCGTAGCCGACGGTTTGGACTCAGAATCAAGTGTAAGTTTACGATGCACCGTTGCATGAACCAAATAATCAGCATACATATGTATATAATTCTTACAGTCTGGTGGCGAATATGAATGGTCAGAAGAGTTACAAGGTTATATACTTTCATCCTTCTATATTGGTTACATTTTGACGCACATTCCTGGCGGTCTATTGGCTGAGAAATTCGGTGGTAAATGGACGCTCAGTTTGGGTATACTCTCCACTGCATTCTTCACCGTCATTACACCGCTCGCCATTATTAAAGGTGGTGCGACTTGGCTAATTATTGTACGTATTCTGATGGGTATTGGTGAGGGTACCACCTTCCCTGCTTTGAGTGTATTATTAGCGCAATGGGTACCGATTAAGGAGCGTGGCAAGTTGGGTGCGTTGGTATTGGGAGGCGGACAAGTCGGAACAATTTTGGGTAATCTATTATCTGGTTTGCTGTTGGACGCTTACGATTGGCCTGTGGTCTTTTATTTCTTCGGTGGTATTGGACTTGTGTGGTTCGTTATTTTCGTAAGTGAATTGCTGCTATACAAACTATTAGGGAATATATAAAATAAATTATTCTTGTATTTAATTTTAGACTTTCCTCTGCTACAGTGACCCAACCACACATCCATTCATTAAACCTAGCGAAAAAGAGTATCTAACTAAACATATGGGTAGCATTGGACGCAACAAGAATTTGCCACCCACACCATGGCGTGCCATATTAACCAGTTTGCCAATGTGGGCTTTGATTTCAGCACAAATTGGTCACGATTGGGGTTTCTATATTATGGTTACTGATTTGCCCAAATACATGGCGGATGTTATGCAATTCTCTATTAAAGCTAACGGTCTCTACTCTTCACTACCATACGCCATGATGTGGATCCTCTCGTTGGGTTCAGGTTTCGTGGGCGATTGGTTGATTTCACGTAAAATCATGAACATCACAAATGTGCGCAAGATGATGACTGGTTTAGGTGAGTAAAAGAGTGCTTTGTGCTTCGTTGTCCATAAAAATACTTAATGCTATTCTTCCACTTTAGCTGCCTTTGGCCCAGCGATCTTCATGGTTGCCGCTTCATATGCTGGTTGTGATCGTATTGCTGTCGTTACACTCTTCACCATTTGCATGGGTCTTATGGGTGCATTTTATGCGGGCATGAAGCTTACACCGCTCGATATGAGTCCCAACTATGCGGGCACATTGATGGCGATCACCAACGGTATTGGTGCGATTACGGGCGTCGTTTCACCATCACTGGTTGGCTTGATGACACCAAATGTAAGTTAAAACGCACAAAAAAAATAAAATTTATCGAAATAGCGTACGGTCATTCTATGCACATTTAAATTTATTTAAATAACAGATCGAATGAAAAGACTGTAAAGCTGGAACTCCAGACTTATCTCAACTTGTTAGCATTTATTCAGCTTTTTAGCATTTAGAAGAAGTATAGCACTGAACACAGGGCAAAAAAAATGGCATCAGACTTTAAGAGTTTAAGTAAAACCCGACACTAAGTACAAGCTTCACGCTTTGACACACATTAGTTAAAAAAAATGTTGTAAAGATGAGAGCTCCACTAAAAGCTAAACGGTTTCATAAAATGTAATTAGACTAAATTTTCAGAACAAGTCGTCTATAATTAAGTATTGTGCCAATCCTTAAAAATTCAGAAACCCAGTACATGAACCTATTTCGAAGCTATAAAATTTTAGAATACCTCGTAGCTTAAATATACATAGGAAAGTAAAGAAATATTCCGTACTTACTTTATTTTTATCTTTTCAGGCCTCGTTGCTCGAATGGCGCCTCGTTTTCTGGGTCGCATTCGGTGTGCTTGTCGTCACCGCCATCGTCTATGTGATCTGGGCGTCAGGTGAGGTGCAAGATTTCAACGATCCACCACGTAGAATCGATTTCAAAGCAGAAGAGAAGGAGAAAGCAGCTGTTGCAACACAACTTGAAAGTAGGGAAAACTTTCCAGATACGGGGAATATAAAAACCACACATACCTAGGCTATGTATGTATGTATGTAATAGTAGCTAAATCGTACTATACTTGTATAACGAATAGGTATGAGTGCACGAAAACTGCCGGCAGATCTGTTGAAGAAAGAAAAGAATTTACAAATCAAATTCTAATTATAAAAAGTATTTATTGTAATTATAATTTAAGCAAAAAAAAAAAAATGCAAAAAGTAGCAAACAACAAAAATAATTAAAAACAGAAATTATAGAAAAAGACAATCAAAAACAAAATTATTATATTGTACAAAAATATTAAAAATAATTGAAATGATAAATTAAGTTTAAAAAATTAAGATTAAAAAATTTAATTTTAAAAATTTAAATTAAAAGATTAAATTCAAAAAAATAAAATTTAAAATTAAAAAAAAACAATTAAAATTAAAAAAATTAAATTGAAAAAATTGAAATCAAAAAATGATTGTTTAAATTATATTAATTTTCACAGTTGTTGTTTGTTATATCCAAAGATTTCGTAAACTATTTGTGTATAAATATGTATGTAATTAATTAAATAATTTAATGACACTTATGTAGTAGTGATATATGTAATGTATGTACATACTAAAATTGTATTAGTGTATTATGTAATAAAATGCTATTGAACTTAGGCGCACGTATAAAATAAAAACAAAAACAAACAAATTGTAATGAGAACTTTTGCCTTGTAATTGCTTTTGTGGCGCACTCCAAATAAATTCTTATTGCTTTCAATATTTATTTTAATTAAATTTATTGTACTATAGAACAAAAAGAGAACAACAATAAGAAAAAGAACTTCAATTTCAACTCTGTACGTACTTAAGTGCGCTTATAGCTTGTGCCATTGGTTTTTACTACACTACAACAACAACAAGGACAAATTCGATGTACTTGATTTATGAGTGAGGTCTGTGTGGTAATTATACAATTGCTTAATTACTTTTATAAAAAAGGCAAGAAATATTATATAAAAACGTGTACCACACAACCGATGGATATATGATACAAACACACATACATACGTAATTATATATTTATGTATATAGGCGCATATTTATGTAATCATACCTTTAGCACATGCAGATCAACTTATATACCTGTGACTTAAATTAAACTATAAATTCTTTCGTTTGCGCGCATTAAACGTTTTTCGCAAAGCCATAACATATACATATGTACTTATGTAAATGCGTACATACATAGTTGTATGTATATATTACTGTGTATAGTACGAACACTTATTATTTAATTATGTAATGTTTAAATATATTTGTTTAAAAAATATTGCCCATGCAATTGAATTGCAAATATGTTAGTATGTATGTATGCATAGCGGAAATCTCTATACTTGCAGTATGCTTATATAAACATACACACATATTTTTGCATTTTAGTACTAGTTGATATAATCATACACATGTACATTTAAATAATAATATATAAATAAGATATTATTAATGACAATATTACATTCAAAAATTGTTATGTAGTTGTAATTATTATTAAAATATATAATGTAAAAAGCTTTGCGAAACTTTCTTTAATAAACTGAAACGATCAATAAAGATTAAAAAAAAAAAAAAAAAAAAACTGTTAATCGGACCCAAGCTATAATATCCTTCACAGTTCAGTTTGTTTGGCATCTATATCCTTTAGCTGATCAGGGGTTCCGACAAATGTGTAGATTCTTGGGAAGAAAAGTACGTGTGCAAAATTTCAGATCGATAACTCAAAAACTGAGAGAGAGTAGTTTGCCTTACTCAGACAGATGTACATGGCTAAATCGGCTCAGTTCGTCATGCTGATCATTTACATACATATATATTTTATACAGTCGGAGTTTCCTTTTATGGTGATCAAGGTATAAAAATAAACGAAATATAATTTTATTAAATATGGGACATAAAATCTCAATAAGATTAGTTTTCCAATCAATTTCTAATGGCACTTTCTAAATTTCAGACAGAATTTGTAAAGGCTGCTCAGTTGAATTAAAAAGCAAAGTTTGTTTTTGACATATTTACATATTTTATTATATTTTCCTGTCGTTGTCTTCAATTAGACTAGCTAAAATATATTTTGCCCATCCCATTTGGCATTGGACAAGTTTTTTAGTGGAACTATAATATCGGTCTACGACAATTTGCTGTGTTTGTAGCTAGTGGGTGGCGGAAAAATACGAACTGGGGTCCTATTCAGTAACTCGATTCGAAAATGTATTATATTCGAATGCTGTGACAGAATTTTCGAATGCTAAATATCAATACAATAAAATAAGTATACATTTTTTTCAAAAAAAATTGATTCCGTTGGGTTGTGGGTGGAGAACGAGGAAATTATTGAGGAAAGGATTGCGAAAAAATCTTTAAGAAATGAATTTAATATTAAGGATTTTTCGTAAAAAAGGTAATTTGTTATGTGCATATGTAATATGTTCGGTTATAAACTGTTTTTACATTTGAGGCTATAGCTTTATACAAAACTTTTGCTTCACAAGAAAGCCTTTAATTATGTAGAAACTAACCGTATCTATGCCATGCACGACGGTAAATCCAGCTGTAAAACTTGCTACTACTTTAAAATTCCTTGGCCAAGAAGGCTATCAGCATCAAATAGGGCAAGACTGGTTTGAAGAATTAGCCCAATCCACTACATCTAAATTTATTGCAGAAGTATTGAGTGTGATTGAAAAAACATTGTGTTCGAAATACAAAAAATACGAAATGAACTCACAAGAAAAGCTTGAAGCTAAACATTTTTTTTTACTCAAAATTTGGATTACCAGGCCAATAATAGGTGCTGTTGATGGAACTCACATCTAGATGGTTAGACCAGTAAAAGATGAACAGCTCGTTTTTAATCGAAAGCTTAGCATAGCGTCAATACTACGGTAGTAAGTTTATATTACGAGTTTTTATTCATATCTATTTATTTTATTGTACTTTATAATTAGTTTAGTGGCCATAACATGTATATAAGAGCTGCAAATGGACATTATTAAAAATGAAAATTATTAAAATACTTACATTTTTCAAAAAGTGTTCTTTCTACAACTGAAAAGTTAACCAATATTTTATGCTAAACTCAATAAATTTGAAAATAAAATTGAAACTACACATTTGCAAATTTTCGTTAGTCGAATTAACTATTCGAAATTAGATACCCATTTAAAAAAAATTCAAATTCGAAAAAAATTTATTTTCGAATCGAATTATATAATGGGGCCCCGACTATTTCCGATTCGTGGTCTGCTCTGCCGAACGTAAGCACATTTAAATATACGAAAATTCCAAAAAAATTTAGATTATTTTCATTTTCACAATGCGTCTTTCGAATTTTTTACCCTCTGTGATTCTCTCAAACATAAACCATGGAAATTAGAAATTGTTGCGGAACCCCATATACCAATTTTTTCGGCGAACGATAAAACAGTGGAAGCTACCTTTAAATAATCAATTTGTTCAAGTTCTATATTTTCAGNAGTGGGTCCAGTACGTCCATTGAATCCGCCCGCTTGTTGACCACAAGACGCTCCTTGTGCACCACCACTATGTAATTTTGTCATGATTGGTGAACACAGTTTAGTGAGCGTGTTCATTTTGTCTTCATATTCTTCCTTGTCGGCCAACGTATTGAGATCGAGCCATTTGATTGTGTCGTCACAAGCCTTCAATGCTTCGCTCTTCTCCTGAGCACTCAATTTATCACCTGCGCCATCCAGGGCTTGTTTCACACCAAATACATAACTCTCCAAGTTATTTCTAGCCGCGATCTTATTGCGTTGTCGTTCATCTTCTTCGGCATAGCGTTCCGCCTCGTTCACCATACGATCGATATCTTCTTGTGATAGACGTCCTTTGTCGTTCTTGATAGTGATATTCTTGGCATTTCCTGAACTCAATTCCTTCGCCGATACATTCAGAATGCCGTTGGCGTCCAGATCAAAGGTAACCTCAATCTGTGGCACTCCGCGTGGAGCTGGCGGTATGCCCGATAAGTCGAATGTACCCAGTCGATTGTTGTCCTTGGTCATCACACGTTCACCCTCGTAAACCTGGATTGTGACACCACTTTGGTTGTCGGAGTATGTTGAGAATGTTTGAGTTTGTTTGCATGGAATTCGGCAATTTCGTTCAACAATTTTCGCCATAACACCACCAGCTGTTTCGATACCTAAGGACAATGGTGCTACGTCGACCAATAGCACATCCTGAATTTCACTGCTCTTGTCACCACTTAGAATAGCAGCTTGGACGGCTGCACCATATGCCACTGCCTCATCCGGATTGATTGAAAGATTCAGACTTTTGCCACAGAAGAACGACTGTAGTAGACTCTGAACTTTTGGAATACGTGTGGAACCACCAACCAATACGATATCGTGTATTTGATTCTTGTCCATCTTCGCGTCATTCAACGCCTTCTCCACTGGGTCCAAGGTCTGACGGAATAAATCAGCACACAATTCTTCAAAGCGAGCTCGTGACACTTTCGTGTAGAAGTCCACTCCTTCGTATAGTGCATCGATTTCGATTGTGGCTTCGGTGCTTGATGATAAAGTACGCTTCGCACGTTCGGCTGCTGTACGTAGACGACGTAATGCTCTTGGATTCGAACGTAGATCTTTTTTGTACTTTCGTTTGAACTCATCAGCCAAGTGGTTGACCAGTCGGTTGTCAAAATCTTCCCCACCAAGATGTGTGTCACCAGCGGTTGCACGCACTTCGAACAGTGAACCCTCGTCAATGGTCAAGATTGATACATCAAAAGTACCACCGCCCAAATCGAAGATCAGAACATTACGTTCACCTTTCAGATTCTTATCCAGACCGTAGGCTAAGGCGGCTGCTGTCGGTTCATTAATGATTCGTAACACATTCAAACCAGCAATACGACCCGCATCCTTAGTCGCCTGTCTCTGTGAGTCATTGAAGTATGCTGGTACTGTGATGACGGCGTCTGTCACTGTTGTTCCTAAGTATGCCTCAGCTGTCTCCTTCATCTTGGTCAACACCATTGACGAAATTTCTTCTGGCGCAAAGCGTTTGTTCTCACCTTTGTACTCGACACTGATCTTTGGTTTGCCACCGTCACTCACTACTTTGAAAGGCCAATGTTTGACATCCTCCATGATCTTCGGATCGTCATACTTGCGTCCAATCAATCGCTTGGCGTCGAATACTGTGTTCTTTGGATTCATGGCAACCTGGTTCTTCGCCGCATCGCCAATGAGTCGCTCTGAATCTGTAAAGGCAACGTAACTGGGCGTTGTGCGGTTGCCTTGGTCATTGGCGATAATCTCCACTTTGCCGTGTTGGAAGACACCAACACAGGAGTATGTTGTTCCCAAATCAATACCGATTGCTACCATGTTGACTTGCTTTTGTTATACTTTTTCTTCAATTAAACTTTTCAATACTATACTTTTTTAAACTTTTGTAATTGTTTATATCACTTTGTGTTAAAAACACTTTCGCGTTTGTTTGTTACAATCTCTCTAAGAGTTGTTAATACTTTGTTTGCTTATTCAATTCTGAAACGTAGAGCGCTCACGTCTGGTATTTATACTAAAATGGCTCTTCGTCGAATATTCCGGATTCTCTTTCTCGAAATTTCCACACTAATCTACCAGCTGGGTGCAAATTTCTATTCGTATAGTAGCTCTCGTTGCTCAGACTGTGCATGATTAATAACAATTACATACATATGTACATACAGATACAGGTATTTCTGACTCTATAGCCGGCAAATAAAGGTATGAGAGAATCATAAAAATTAATTCTCTTTATTCGCTGCTCTTTAATGTCGCACAGTGTAGTTTATTTATTTTGGTTGAAATACATAATTTATATACCAAAACTAAATTGTAATTATCATTAAATAAATGAATTATACTAGATTCTATTTATTGAAATTCCTACTTACACGAAATACGGTTTGTTTTCATTTAAGCCATGAATATAGCCAAAGTTTTCGGGGATCTGTCTTGTATTTTATTGTTGAGTTTATTCATTCACTGTAGTGAAATATAATAAGAAAAATTAATAGTTTACAACTAGATGATCACACCTATACCAATTCATTGTAAAATAGTGTAAAGGGAGGATCTGAAGAAATCCAAATTAAAATTGTCGTTATGATAGTAGTAAGTTTCTGACCAAAATTTTCACAATTCGGTAAATGTTATACTGTGCTTATTTGTTTGTTACGAAGTGGAATCAAAACAAAAGAAATAACGTGGATTAGTCTATCTAGAAATTCATATGTACATATATGTATATATATAATTATATATTTATGTATGGTGGTATATATAAAAGAGATATCTCAACCCTGATATAAGTCACATTCATATATATGTATATTTGTAGATACGTATAACGAAATATTCGTATAATTTTGTATAGGAAAGAGTAAATCTTCTGGAGAGCGAATTCTCTTTTTGAGTACACGCTCTTTAGATATCATACTGTGTGGAATTTCTTATAAAGGTGTATCGTGTAGATTTACTAATGTATATATGTATGATGATATATAACATTTTTAACTTAATTATCACCTGAATTGTTACAAAGTCATATATGTTTGTATATTCATGGGCATCGATTTAGGCGAGAGTAAATAGAAACTGCTCTTTTTGCATTTGTATTTACCTGAGTGCTAATTAAAGAGCAGAGTAAAATAAACTCTTAGATACTTTAGTAGCCGATATAAATATATACAATACATACATAAATATGTGCATAAGAATATACAACTTTTTGGTACAAATTACAACCAAAATGCTTATACACCATATTATGTACAGTTGTATGTGAAAATAACGAGAAAAAGTATCTGGAAATTTCTGCCATATTTTAATTTGAAAGAAAAATCGAAATGAAAATTAATTAGTTTTTTATTTTAACTAGAAACTTTAAATATATACATACATATGTACACATTTCATCGAGGTCTCTCAATTTTTACTTAAGTAATCGTTTGCCCAAGCAGACAGACAGACATTTGGAATACGTCTCGTCAACCTAATTATTTTGATATACATATGTACATATAATATATTGTTATATACATACATATGAGTTTATCAAACAAATCTAATATTCACAGTATGTTGAACAAATCAACATTGGTGTAAATACATACATAATGTGGATTAAAGAAAGTGCAGACGTGAGGTTATTGACGTACAAATGTGGGCTGTTAATGAATTATTCATTATTATTCATTCATTCATATTTTTTTTGAGAAATACTCCACTGAATGCGTATTTTTTGTAAGACCAACACGAAAACCTAATTTTTGTTTTTCCTTTCCATTGCTTGGTTACCTTTTATATTTCGGTATTAGAGAACAAAAACAAATTTTAACTATCGAAAATCGCTTTATTGTTTTTGAAAATATATTCCTTTAAGCTCTAGGTGTGAAAGTTTGATAACAGACACCAAGTTTAGTTGAATATTTTAAGACAGTGAAAATTTATGAGCTGTTCTTTGTTTAAAAAAGAAATTAGAACTTTTCTACCTAAATAGGAAGGTGATAAGATAGTTTCATAACGCGCGTTTTTTTTAATAACCATTCATCATTTTTGGCATGTTCGATTATGTTGATGGAAAAACTTGTATGTATGTACATATATATTTAGAAAGCCAAAAGGGCAAAATAGACCATAGGTCGCGATGCATACCTCTATTCATTCTAGATAGTCAAAGGTATATTGTTGCAATTGAAAACAATAAAAAGTCAGTATGGAAATCCGGCTTTTTAAAATTTGTAGTTTATTAAAAAAATGTATCTAAGATCTAATACATGTACATACATACATATATATGTATTATATATCTATGTAGCACCATTTCATATTAATTGATTGTGTATAAAGCCTCAGGATTAGGTAACCTTCTTAAAATTTTAATACAATAGTAAACTTAAAAAATTCACTGATTTTCAAAATTCTCATAATGTATTCATTCATAGTATATATGTTATTACCTATCATTTATATGAATATCTACATACTTATGTATAATATTAGAAAATTTTCTGAAATATATTATCGTTTATATTGTATACTGCTTCTTGTAACGAAATTTCCAGATTGAAAATATATGTATGTACATATACATGTATGTGTACAAATGTACCAATGTGTAAGTATATCCATACATACATCTAACTTGTACCTTGAGTTTGCAGATGTCACTTATCTTTCTACTTTTGTTCTCAATTATGAATGCATTTTGGTTCAGTAAAGAGAGTTCTCTGCTGAGTATTTAACTTATAAGAGCGCTGTATACAGCCTATAGGCAGTCCCATATCTGCTCTTAAATAAATACATACTTTATATATTATTATCTAATTTGAAGATAGTTTCATTCATGCTCCCATTTCCATATGTACTTTTGTATATATTTGTGTGCATGCCTACATATAAGCTGTTGAAGAGAATTCGCACCATTCTACCGAATTTCACATAGATGTTAGATTAGTATGGAAATTTCGAGAAAGAGCATCCGGAATATTCGACGAAGAGCCAATTTTAGTATAAATACCAGACGTGAACGCTCTTCGTTTCAGAATTAAATAAGCAAACAAAGTATTAACAACTCTTAGAGAGATTGTAACAAAC